AATTAATGTCAGTTATCACGGTGGTGGGTTAGTTATTAAGGGAGTGGGTTCCTGATAAAAAGGATGAGGTACCCCAATTCTGTCTTCCTGTTTCATGCACTTGCTTCTACCTTTCATCTTCTACCATGGGAAGACACTCACCAGATGCCAGTGCCATGCTCGTGGACTGCCCAGCCTGCAGAACTGTAAGCCAAATAAACTTGTTCATTATACACTACCTATTCTGTGATATTCTATTATAGCAGCAGCAAACAGAGTAAGGTGGTATCAAATAGACTAAAATAGAAAGTATCTGAGTTTAGGCAAGAAAGGTTCTGCAAGGAGAACTGAAAATAGGTGGACCAAGGCAGGTTCTAAAATTTGGAAAACACTAGTAGTCAAGAAATATGGGTTCCTTCTCTAATCCTCATAAAATAATGCAGGCTTTTAGCCAGTATATAAGGCACATGACCATATTTCTAACACTTTCAGGTATTCTAAAACATTTAAATAAGAGATGAGTGGCCTTGGTAAACTTTCTCCCTTGTTCCTCGCATAAAATTTTTATCACTCCTCAAATCCATAACCCACTCACAGTTCTTTAGGATTAGGTGATAACCTATTTTCACTGTGAAACAAGAGAAAGGTTATCAGATATCTAAGCTATACATCTACCTACCCCCCATTAAGAGGAAAAGATGTTCCTAAGTCCTATGGTTAACCCTGCCTGCCCAGGGTCTGTATTTCACCCATTCATACCTCCTCCAGGAAAAGGTGTTTGGTTTTGTTTCTCAATCTTTTCCTCTCTCTTCAGCACTTTCCTTATCTCTACCACAGCTCTACTATGACCCTTTCCTTAACACACAATATGTCAAGCCTATTTCATTCTAGATACTGTCTCCTTTCCTTCACAGTCAAGAGTCTGGCAAAAGCAGGCAATATTTGCTGTCACTATTTCCTTACTTTCCAATCTCTCCTTAATCAATTACAATCTGGCATCTTGCTTCCATTAATCTACTAAAATTAAACCTAAGTGACAAATTCTTAGTCACTTTTTACAGTCATCATCTTAATTGACTTCTGTAACATTTAATTCTACTCACTTATTCCCCTTTTACTTTCTTTTGTTTGTCTTTCCACTAGCTACCTACCTCCTTAACATGCTACTACTCTTTCTCTTCAGCACCCATGTCACCTGCTAACATTTCCTAGCACTATACACACTATCAGGGTAAATTTATCTCTAAAAGCAATTTTCAGCCAGGCGCGGTGGCTCACGCCTGTAATCCTAGCACTCTGGGAGGCTGAGGCGGGCGGATTGCTCGAGGTCAGGAGTTCGAAACCAGCCTGAGCAAGACCCCGTCTCTACTATAAATAGAAAGAAATTAATTGGCCAACTAATGTGTATATATATAAAATTAGCCGGGCATGGTGGCGCATGCCTGTAGTCCCAGCTACTCGGGAGGCTGAGGCAGAAGGATTGCTTGAGCCCAGGAATTTGAGGTTGCTGTGAGCTAGGCTGACGCCACGGCACTCACTCTAGCCTGGGCAACAAGCGAGACTCTGTCTCAAAAAAAAAAAAAAAAAAAAAAAAAAAAAAAAAAAAAAAAAAAAAAAATAAAAGCAATTTTCAAACTTTTGGGTCTCTTTACAACTCTTAAAAATTACTGAGAACCCCAAAGAGCTTTTATTTATGTGTTACAACTATCAGTTGTAATTGTAGGATTTAAAACAAAATTTTTTTTGTTTTAGTGTTTATAACATTAGAAGATATATATATGTACAAAATCCATAAATCATTAGAATGATATCATCACATCATACAGCCTCTGAAAATTTTCACCGTAAACTTGTGAGACAATAAAAGTAAAAAAGCCAAATACTGTCTTAGCACTATTATAAAAACCATTCTGACCTTAAAAGAGTCTCAGGGATCCCTATGAATCCTTAGACCACACTTTGAGATCCACTTACCTACACTCAAGCCTTTAATTAACACCTACTTGCTGCCAAAGACTCCCAAGTCTTCATATCTAGCCTGACCTTTTTCCTGAGCTCCAGATAACATCTACAGTACCAACTGCATTTTTTCACAGGTATTCAAATTCAGAATTGCCCAAAATTCAACTCATTAGTCTTCTATACCAACTCTATGTATTTTCCTTCTGTGTTGCCTATCACAGTCAAAGACACTAAAGCTAGATACCTTTAAAAAAAATCTTAGGCTCCTCCTTTTCCCTCTTTATGCTAATTTAAAGTCATCAAACCCTACTGATTCTACTTTTAAATCTAGTGGAATCTGGAAGCTTGTTAGAAAGGCAAGCTTTGATCCCAGGTTTGTCATAAGAACATAAGTGACTCATTTGCACAATAAAGTTTAAGAAGCACTGCCCTAGGTGGTGATAGTAAAAACAGAGAAGAAAAGGCAAACTTGAGAACACTATAATTAAAACTTCTCTTTACCTTGAGCTTTTCCTCCTAATATTAAATTTTGAAGGTGTGGAGTTTTATTAAAAAGTCAGTATTCCTTAACTAAGTGATCTTCCTTTCAGGTTTCACTTCCCTCAGATCCTACCCTCTACACTGCCACCTGTGGGAGCCTTTTACAATTTTGTCTTTTGTTTCCCCTGCTTCAACAGCAGTGTATCAGCTAAAGTCCAAATTCCTTACAAGCGTATACAAGGGTTTTCAGAACCTGACCCCTGTCTATTTTTCACCATGCTTGCATATACTCCTTCTACCAGAAGTCAGCAAACTAGTGGAATCACCAAGACCACTTGGTATTTTTGTTTAAAGCTTCTCAGGTGATATAAAGTGCAGTGGGGGCTGAGAATCACTGCCCTATGTCTTGAACCAAACAACTTGCCATGCCTTCACACAAAAGCAAAACCATGACCTGTCCTTCTGCCTGCCTTCTTTTCATGCTTTGCCCTTGTCCTCTGGGATGAATTCAGTGTTTCTTAATAATTCAACTACCATTTCTTATTTGAAGGAAGACCTCTTTGCTTATCTTCCTTTACAGGCAGATGTGACTGGCTCTTGTAATACCTTGTGTTTATATTGGGCTGCGGTCCCCAAATGCCAGGCCACAGCCCAGTCCTAGTCTATGGCCTGTTAGGATACGGGCTGCTTATCACCTCCTGAACTCTGAACCACCTCCCCCCTACCCGAAACAACCCACCCTCCCACCGTCAGTCAGTGGAAAAATTGTCTTCCATGAAACCAGTCCCTGGTGCCAAAAAGGTTGGGGACCACTGTGTTATAGCACAGCCCACACTTGATGAAGCAAACTGTCTAAATGTTTGCCAGTCCTACTCATTTGAAGGCAGGGATTATATCATTTCTTGGGCACAGAGACTAGAAGATAATAGGCAATAAATGCTTACTGAAAATGTACTGAATTTTTGGAGCCTGTTGAGTAGGCCTATAGCAATGTAAAATAAAACCAAACCAAACCAATACCTTTCTACCTACCAGTTTATTTCATTAACATGAGGGAAAATGTTTTCATTCCACAATTCTACATTTAGAAGTACAAGTCAAAATCATATGTGAATTCATATACAAACCAAAATAAAAATTTCAGTTGAAGTAGATTAAATCAACCTAAGAATGACTGACTATCAGCTGCTTCTCAGTTTTAATAGCAAGGATAGAAGAAAACAGAAGGGTTCTGGGTGTCTAAAAAGAGCACTGGGTAGAAGGATACAACATAGGGGAAAGGGATATTAGCTAAAATCATCATAAATCCTAAGGAGGAGTCCTAAAAGATAATGTCTAATTGATACAGTAAAATAGGATACACATATTAATTATATTAAAATATGGAAATAAGTGCCAAGAAGAAAAGCCAAAAGAATTGAAGGTAGAGTAGGGTGGGTGGTAGTGGATGGCTCTTAAAACAAAACAAAACAAAAAATTTCTAGTACTATTTTCTCACAAAACCAAAAACTATTATTTAAAAGAATGTAACAAATAAGGGGATGGATTACCAAAAGAATAAATGACATCAGAAGACAATGGAATACTACATAAACTTAACTACTAGGAGTACTGGAAAAAACAAAAGTACTTCTATCTCACAACTATTTGTACCCAGCAACTTTAATGATCTATGAATATTTGTATTATGATGTGTATAAAATTTCACCCCAAGGTAGTTGATAATTAAGGTATCTACTATAGAGATAAAACTAAGAATCATTTTCCAGATAAGCAACTTCTTAAATGGAAAAACAACAATAATAAAACTAGCTTCTTCAAATCTTAAAGACAATGTATAATCAATCTGTAGTCATTTCCAGAATGTTGTACCACTAGATTTAAACATTAATACTTAAAATCTGCAAATGTACAATATAGAACTGCAAAAGCCAAAATTTCAAAATTTTCTATTGTTGCTCCAAATTTCAAAACTTCTATACATATACAGCTAAGTACACCCAATGGCCAACCAAATAGTGTTTCATTGTAAATGCCACTGGGGTCTTTTAAAAAAATAAAAACACAAACAACATTTTAACTAAAAGTATAGCCAAAAGTGATCCTTAAAATTCTTTAAAGGAAAGTGGAATTTTCTTATACATTGATTCCTCTAAAAAATCCAAATACTAAATCTATAACTTATATTGGGACTATGGGTACCTATAAAAAACACAGAAAGAATATAACTGTCGTAAGTGATCCTTTAGTGTTTTGCTATTTAAAAAAAAAAACCTACCAAAAATACCATATTTGATGAACAGAAAATGGAAATATCTAAAATTATTTTATTGTCCTTTATAATAAAAATGCCTATGAAAGAGGAAGCATGTGAAATTATAAATATTCTCAATTATGGGAAAATATCAAGAAATGTTCTAAAGTCCAGGAAATATAAAATGAAAACATTCTTGATAGTTTTTGAAAAACTTCACTTTGACTACAACTAAACCTACAATTTTTAAGGACTCAGTGTAAGTATGTTAATTTGGAAAAACTAGTCTATAATAATCTGGTGCTATAGGGCTACTAACGCTTACCTCAAGGGAACCTACTGCAGATAAAGTCCGTCACTTGCACAGTCCTTTCAGCTGCCTGCCAGTTGTCTCTGTGGAAGGGAAAGCCTGATGAGTGAGAGCCCTACGCCACACTCCTTTGGAGTATCAGGGTGCCTGCACAGAACTGTACAACACTATCTAGCTAGAGATTCCTAGCTGCTTTCAATAACACAGGGCTAAAAAAGATGCCACCTTTGAAGTTCCTTTTTCCTCTGAACAACCAAACAAAACGCCTAAGAGTTACTGAGTGCTAACAACTCACTGGTATTACAAAGCTGATATATCTAGAAAGTAGATAAAAGACTAAAATGTATCAAGTAGAAATAAGTTAAGTTTGACAAGGAAAACACATACACGCACACACACAAACATTAAAAAGGGACAGAACTGTATCATCTGCAGAGAGAAAAGGCTATATCCACAAAAAGTGAAGCTGTAGCATCAACGAATGAATGTTAAAACCCAAAGAACTTCCTGTCTACCCATTTTTCAAAGATGCCATCAAGTATATCACGTGCCTACTTATAAAATTCCAAGTATTTTCTTGGTGGGGTCAGTAAGTGGGTGAGGGACGAGTGGATTCTTCAGATTTTTTAAGATATGAAAAGGGAAAACCAGCATGATTCCATAAGAAATTCTAAAAAGAGAAAAAAACGTATATCTGTATCTCAGAAAGTACATGAACCCTTACTCAGGATCAAACTTAGAGGGAAGAATAATGAGAAATAATAGAAAATTGTGAAACTCAACATATTTCAAAAACCACCTTCATCTCATAGAATTATGAATGATTAATAACTATTTTCCATTAAGAATATCTATCCCTCATAAATTTACAAGTTCAGCTACATAACCAAATAAACTGTATTTTCTTTCTTATCTGGCATTAGCCAAATAAGGTCTTCAATCTAAATGTTGCTCTTCAATAAGGCAGAACAAAATACTCCTACAAGAAACTTTAAAAGCATTAATCTTTAGCAAAAGGACTGGAAAAAAAAAAACTGTTTAGTTAAGATGATTCCAGTTTTTACTTTAATAACAGCATAATTAAAATGAAATTACTTACCTCTGATTCTTTGTCACTTAAAGATCCCAAGCTTCCAAAGCTGTGATTAGAGCTTTCATTATTTGTTGAGGCCTGTTAAAAATGGTTATAAAGGTAAAAATTAGGAGTAATTTTAAATAAACATATTACAAGTACATAATCTATTTTCATAATAAAGATTAAGTACAATTGCTTTAAGTAAGGAAGAGAAATGAAGGAAAAATAATAAACACCAAGTTCTTAACACTATAAATATCTTGGAAAGTTTTATCAAGTCAATAAAGTTCTGCTGTGTTTTAAGAACTGACTTGTTTAGCTGATTTTTAGAACACCAGTTCAAGAGCAACAGAATTGGGCCATTGTTAGGAAAACAAGATCTCTAAAATTATTACCCAATGTATACAAACTAGTGCTTCCTTTGATCAAAAATATTGTGTTCTTCAGTTCCCTTCACAATTATCAAATTCCATATGTCCTACACACCCCTTTGGCCTTTCTACATATTAACAAACTGAGTCCTTGTTTTGACTTAATCTTTTAAGAAAATATTTTACCACCTTAACCATTTTAATTGTTTTGCTCAAAAGTTTCTCAATTTCCTTGACAATATTTTTGTGGGTTTTTTTTGTGTTTTTTTTTTGAGACAGAGTCTCACTTTGTTGCTCAGGCTAGAGTGAGTGCCATGACATCAGCCTAGCTCACAGCAACCTCAAACTCCTGGGCTCAGGTGATCCTCCTGCGTCAGCCTCCCAAGTAGCTGGGACTACAGGCATGTGCCACCATGCCCGGCTAATTATTCGTATATATGTTTTTAGTTGTCCAGTTAATTTCTTTCTATTTTTAATAGAGACGGGGTCTTGCTCAGGCTGGTTTTGAACTCCTGACCTCGAGCAATCTGCCCGCCTCGGCCTCCCAGAGTGCTAGGATTACAGGCGTGAGCCACCGCGCCCAGCCTCCTTGACAATATTTTTGAACTGTGACAAAGAGAAATGAACTATCATTCTGTAGGATGACATCTGCTTTGTTCTTAATATAATTCTATGATGCTTACTCTTTTGTGTAATTTTTTGTACCATCAGTATTTTAAATCAATGTCTTCCAGGAATTTTCAGACCAGAAATTGACAGGCTACATATACACCACAAGATGATGCATGAATTAACTTCACATATAGGCATACAAGTTGATATCCTCCTGTTTCCCTTCCATTGTTCAGGGTAGCTGCTAACTCTACTATTAACAGGTTGTAAGTTGGCCTATAATTATCCTTAGCCAAATTTCTAAACTGACAACTCTAGCCATTGCATACACATCCAGCAGTATGCTGGACACTGTAAAGGCTGTTTTCAACACAGGATAGCACTTGAACTGATTAAGATTTAAGTAGTACTTGGAGGAAGTTATAAATATTAGGCTGATGTAGAAGTAATTACAGTTTTGGATTGGAAACTTTAAATCATTATATTATTTAATAACTAGGCTTAAAAACACCTTTAATCATCAAAATAGGAATCATTACAACAATCAACACATTTTTGCCAACAAGAAATAAATTTATTTATTCTTCCAATTCATGAATATTGTACCTCTCATTTATTTATACCTGTATCAATTTCTCTGTTGAACAATTTTCAGTGAAGATGTCTTGAGTATCTTTGGTCAGATTTATTTCTGAGTATTTTTTTATTATTGTACATGGTATCTTCCTAAAACTTCATTTTCCACTTGTTGATATGTAGAAGTATAACTGACTTTACCACATGATTTATATTCAATGACCTTGATTAATTTACTTACTAGTTTTAATTATTTGTAGGTTCTTTGTGATTTTTTTTCTATATCATAATCATGTAATGGGAATAATCTTTATTTCTTGATATTGGTGCTGGTTACATGACTGCGTTCAGCTTGTGAAAATTCATTAAGTAATGTATCTTACAATATGTGCATTATTTTACATGTACTGAGGGGAACTACTTTCAAGTTTTGCTATTTATTTTAATCATTTTTCAATGCCATTGTAGTAGAAAGCCATTAAAACCTGAGACTTCCCTGCGTATTCCTTTTTAAAAGCATGTATTTAAAAAGTTTGATAGTCTCAGTATTGATTCTTTGAAGACTAAAACTGGCAATATTTCTCCATAAATAAGCATTCATTTATTCTTAACCTTGGCTTCTTGTATTGGAGTTAATTCTTTATCAATAAAAAAATATGTTTCCTAAGTCCACTGTAACTCTACTTCATAAGGCTGTCATTGGTAATCTTGTCAAGAGTTTGATAAAAAGAATATCTGAACTAACACATATAATGTTTTTATACTAAGAAACTATTAAAATTAAATTAAATTAAATTTCCTTAGTTCCATTACCCACATTTTAAGTACTTCGTAGCCACATGTGGCTAACAGCTACATGTTGAGCCATGCAGATATAAAACATGGCCATCACCCCAGAAAGTTCTATTGGAAAGAGTTGCTATAGACCAGGAGTAGGCAAACTATGGTTCTCTGCCTGGTTTTATAAATAAAGTTTCATTGGAACACAGCCATACTCATTTCATTAAATATGGTCTACAGCTGCTTTAGAGCTACAATGGCAGAGTTGAGTTGAGCAGTTGCAATCAAGACCATAAGACTTAAAGATATTAACTACCTGACACTTAACAGAAAATTTTTGCCAACCTCTCTTATAGACTATACAAAAATCAAGGGCTGTAAGGGGGCATGTTTAAGAGGAGATAAAAGAGTTTAGAATGCAATGCTACCTATATTTCACCAATAAATATGCCCCCACCTAGCCAGATATAATCTAATATAAACCATTCCTGTTTCCCTAAAAAGCAATGCCTATATTTCACCAATAAATATGCCCCCACCTAGCCAGATATAATCTAATATAAACCATTCCTGTTTCCCTAAAAAGCAATGTCTTAAATTTGGGGTTTGAAATTCAAGTTTTATGATACAAAACACAGTAAACATTTCCCATTTTACATACTCAACATCCATTCCAATTTCATAATAGCACCATAGTTTTTTTCTGGCCCTTTCCTAATATTTTTGGTGAGACTATAAATCAACCTGCCTGCCTAATAAAAATCCTAAGGAAGGTCCTTCTCCCCCATATACTCTTCATCCATACTCATAGTCAAGAAATCAAAGGGAAAGCCTAAACCCAATACTAAACTAATCAACTTCATTCCCCAGAATTCTGAATCACAAGGGAGTGATATCGGTGTGAGATGGGGGTGTCTTTTTTTAAAATCCCGTGGAGATACTGCAATCAGAAGGATGAGCAATTCCTGTTGCCTAGCCACTAAGGGTTGCCTGTTGACATTTGGTTTTCGGGCCTCCAAACTATTCTGTGAATTGCCTGATAGACTACCAATAACTTCCCTTCTTTGCTTAAGATAGCTAGAATGGTTTCTTTTTCTACAAATAAAGTCCAATAACTGATATAAAATATAATGACTTTCATTTAACAATGGTTTAGCAGAAAACCTGGAGTGGACAAAAGCAGAAAACAAAGTTAAATGTCTTAAAGATAAAGGTGACTTGTCCATCTATGACATTTATTTATTTATTTTTTTTTTGAGACAGAGTCTCGCTTTCTTGCCTAGGCTAGAGTGAGTGCCGTGGCGTCAGCCTAGCTCACAGCAACCTCAAACTCCTGGGCTCAAGCGATCCTCCTGCCTCAGCCTCCCAAGTAGCTGGGACTACAGGCACAAGCCACCATGCTCGGCTGATTTTTATATATATATATTAGTTGGCCAATTAATTTCTTTCTATTTTTATGGTAGAGACGGGGTCTCGCTCAGGCTGGTTTTGAACTCCTGACCTTGAGCAATCCGCCCGCCTCGGCCTCCCAGAGTGCTAGGATTACAGGCGTGAGCCACCGCGCCCGGCCAATGACATTTATTTTTTTAAAAAAGGGCACACTAGATATTTTGACTAGGACCAGCTCTAGGCAAAATTCTACAACAGACTCAAAAGTTTTGGTTCCTACTCACATTCTCAACACCACTACTATTCTGTTCTTGGCTCTCTGTTAGCTGTCAATTAATTCTAAATATAAATTAAAGTGTTTAGATTTAAACCTATGAGTATAAAGGAAAAACCTAGCACAAGCTCCCACATCCCCAAACATTTCTTTAGTTCACTGATAAAATATCACAAAATATCCACTGATTATGCCAATGGATTTAGTTAGAATGTTTCATGTTTTAACAGAATTTTTTGAAATGTGGGTTTAACCTGAAAACTGTTAAGACCATTCCTATACCCTCATGGACAAAGTGATAAATATGTGAAGACATGATATGTCCACCTGGAAGTTACCAAACCATGCTTGCTCTGCTGTGGTATTATTAGAATAGACTAAAAAAATATCTATAGGGCAGGGATTATGTTCTCTGTCAAACCAAAAACACGAAATGAAACCTTACACATATCAAGTACTTTAAAATATATGCTGGGGGAATGAAGCAACTAGATGGCTTTTGTTTGTTTGTTTCATGTGACGCTACAGCTTAGAAGGAAAATTAGTAAACTAAACAAACACTGGCCCTATTTTCAGTTCCAAAGAGCTTGCTAGTACTGGCCAACACTAAGAGCATATTAAAGCAAGTCCAGAAGGACCACATGACTCCATGTAAACTTTAGGTGCAATTCAAATTTTTCCCCCAGTATTCTTTAAAATATATGCCAGTCTCAAAATTAGCCTTCTAATTGCCTCAATCTCCGAAGTTTCCAAAGATCAGAATCAGTATACACTGTCATGATTTCTTATAATAAAATTATTTCATTCCAAAATTGAGTACATAACTACATTAGTAAAAAAATGTGATGGGATAAATTCTGTCCAGATATACATAGGTGTCAATGACGGACACAGGAGGTTCACCAAATTTAGATTTGGGCAATCGGGTGGAAAGAGATAGTAATCAGAGAAACATTCTTAAAGTGATGCCTGACTTGACTCTTGATATTCAAATAGTGATAAGTCTAATAGAAAAAAGCATAACGGAGTCTGAAGCAAAGTGTTCAAAGGAACACTATGTTCAAAGGAAAGAATCTGTGAAAAACCATGTCCAT